ACTACTGTTCATATTACACAGTGACAACACAATAATACAGGATAGTTTTACAAGTGTAAGTCTTATCAAGCACTCTGAGGCATAATGTGTATCACAAAGATAGCATCCGTTCAAACATGAGATAGGCATAATTTAGCAGGGGTAAGTAGCGCTATGTACGTAAGAGTAAGAGTAAACACAATTCATTCTGAGTGATGTCAGCCGGCGAGGAATCCTCTACAAAAACACCAATTTTTACTCACTTAGATGAGAGCGTAATACTACATCTGTACAACAGTGACCAAAACATTACAGAAGCCAAAGAGAGTGACTCAAGAGATTATCTCGAATATAAAGCAGAACCAAAATAATAACTTAAGTTAAGTATTTTAGTATTTTAGTATTATAAGTATTTAAACCTTTCATAAAATGACATAAATTGTGTCAGTTTGTTTTAACACAGTATGCAATGTTTCCAACCATCGGGAATATTTAAGTTTCATATCACTGCTTGTCCATGAATTGTAAAGTATCTATAGTGCAGTGGTTCTCAAAGTGGGGTCCGGAGACCCCCAGGGGTCCTTGAGGGGGTTCCAGGGGGTCCCCAACAAAAGGGGGAATACTTTATTTTTGTTATCATTCTATCCATAAGTAGCACAGTGACAAAATGTCTGCAAAAATCAGATGGGGGACCCTGGGACAAAATCTTATCAAATGGGGGTTCGTGGTCTAATTTGTGTTGGTATAGGGTCCCTGATGAAATGGTTAGAGAACCACTGCTACAGTGGACATAACATTGTCACATCTTGTCCATTGATTCCCTCATTACAGGATGATAAACCCTTTAAACTGAGAGTTTAGGAAAATTAGAAAATGACCTTTCACGCAGACGCTCCTTTTTTCATCTAGTGAATGTCTTCTTAATGACTGTGTTGCTCCAACACATTGCATTCTCTGTAGGGAAACTGTGAGGAACCAACACTTTAGCTGGCGTTGCTTAAATGTGAGCAAATAGACTGTTGGGCTATTGTAGCAGTAAATATACAGTAGTTTTTATCAGAACATTGAGTCCAGAGAAGCTACTGTGACTTGACTGCAGTCTCTCAGCCTATAGACGCAGTGCAGGGACCTGTCACAGCCACCAATGAGCATGTTCATACTGCCCCCTCCTGATGGCTCTCTGTTAAGCACCTCCTGCACACTGAGTGCAATAAATGTTCAATACATTGTTGAGCATTAAATTTGATGTATTTTCCTGGACTAATCCTCAACCTTAGAAAAAGTGAATGACTTTGGGTATTTTTTGACTGGCTATTTATAAAATAATTTACAGATGAAATTACATTAATTACCAACCAGGCAACTTGAGCTGGGGCCTCAAACCTCCAGGGGCCTCCAAAGCCCCAGGTTTACTGTGTGCCAAGTGCTTGTAATTAGATTGCTTGCAAATTTGTTGAGGATTTTGCACCACTGAAGTACTATATAACCTGGGCCAAGTAGTTTTCCAGTATAGGAGTATTGGTTTGTTTCTGGCTCTCAGTGCAAAATAAATAAAGCTGCCATCATTAGTATAGTCTGCTCTGTAGATGATGGGAACTTTGAGGCAACAGGGGTCCAAAAGCAAACAAACAGCATTGATTTCAGGTTTATAATTCAATTAATGGGATTCATAAGGGGGGGGGGGGTTATTTATGCTGAGGGCAAGGGGAGAAGCCTTTACAGAATATAAAGACATCCATAGGTTTAAGTAGTAACAGTTTAAAATATAATTAATTACATAAAGAGCGCAATCCAATTTAACTGGAGAAAAGCAGAATGTTGCACCTGATATTGTTGACAATTGATTTAGTGTGTCCATAAAAGCTGCACATTTTGAAGCCAAATGTTGCCTGCAGATTGAATTGACTCAGCCTATATTAGTGTTGTGTGTGTTGATGATAAGAGAAGCCAACGGTCAGCATAATTACCCAGGTAAAACTGATACAGGTGATAGCTCTTACATAACCTCAGCTAATGATTAGAGGGTGGCTCTACAAACAGGCCATTTGTGAACATACAAACTTTGGTCATGATTTTTTTTTTAAAATATTCTGGTTTTTATTATGTTGTAAAATCCGTTATGTTTTTAAAAAACTGTTTTCTTTCCATCTTGTGTTTTCTTATATGTGATGATAACATATATAATGAAATGTCATTGGATCAGTCCCACTGAGTGCAGTGCTACTGTGAGAAGCGTCACATACTTCAACTCAGGTATTTATTTTCGTCCGAGAGTGTAACTTTTGTGACTACGGCATTGTTCTTTTTTAACAAGGACCAAATGCTTTATGTGGGTTCTTGTGTGCCTGTGTGTATGCTGAGTGTGCTTGTACTATCTGAAGGTCAGCAAGGGTATTGCAAGTATTTCCCAGTTCGCTATCAGTTTAGCTTGTTTGTCTTTGTGTCAGTACGGGGGGGTGTCCAGATAGTGTGTGTGGCCTGTTGTGTAGGCTGGTCAATCTTTGCATATGTGAATGCACTTGCAATTGCATGCATGTCTTTCAATATGTGTACACCAATGACTAAATGCATTGGGTAAGCTTACTGTGATTTTTGCTGGTAAAGAGGGAGAGCTGTTGGAGAACCAGAAAAACTAATGTGTGTAAGACAAAACGTACTTTCAAATCAAGCATTTCTATATAACATTAAATAGTAGTGACTAGATAAGGAACAATAAAAGTTGTAGGTATTATTTATTTGGTGTTTACCACTCAAAATTTCAGCTGTGTGGGTGTGGTTTGATCAGATTTGATTGACAGTGGTCTGGAAACACAGACATTTCCTTCCATGTCATTTGTTTAGCCCAACATTGTGTTTATATTGGCTGATTTCTTGTTGGACGGGATTTTTATTTTTTTTTGCCCTTAACTAAGTGACCATCTCAGCTTGTCTTGACATCCCTAACTGTCTACTGCAGTTATCTTCACTGTGATGTATATTTACAATAAAAGAAATATGATGTAAAACAACGTTGTCTTTTCATTTTCATTTTTAAGATATTAATATGTATATATTTTGAGGGTTCCAGATCTGTAATTTACATATAAAGAGCCAGTGACTGGGAAAAAAGTTAGTGAATGTAGAAAAACTAAATTACACATAAGATGCAGTTTATAAAAAAGATGAAGAGAAGGCAGCCCAATTGAGGAGGTATATCCGTCAAAGAAGGGCCAGGATGCGGTGGAGGATGGAAAAGAGACATATTAGCAGGGCTATGTAGCTTTGTACATTTGTCTAATTATTGTACTTTTTTGCAACCTATCCCTTATTTTTATGTAGACCTGACAGCTCACTTGGTACATAAACTGTTGCAGTTATTGTATAGAGCTGTGGTTTGTGATGCTGTTGAAATGTAGGAGAGCGGGGTGAATTGAGCAGAGGTGGAAAGTAACATTACTGTAATTGAGTAGTTTCTTTGGGTACTTGTACTTTTTAAGGTAGTTTCTTAAATCTGTAATTTCACTTTTACTTAATTATGGTTTGTTTTGTATTGTATGCTACATTTTTAATCACAACAGCTTGATCATGCAGTGTAAGCTGTGAAAAATACTGTATTAAGTTAGTGCTAATGCAAACTGAACATTTCCTGCTGCTACCGCTTCACATTAAATGCATTTATGTGGTGAAACAGAAGTTGACTATTATTTTGAAGTAATCACAGGAAATGCAATCTGTTCGTATGTGAGATTAGCACTGACCGCTCTCATTCATCAAATATGCGTCTACACAACAACACCCGTCATTTTTATCAGTTTTCTGACAGCGGACTAGTTTGAAATATGGCAGTGAGTAATGCAACAGTCAGGAGCAGCCACAGTGAGCTGTTAGATAAAGATCTGCATGCGACAGGCTGCACACCTCCACCTTCTCAGCCAGGTAACCAACTCCTTTCTCTTTTGCTGTTCGCAGAGTCATGTTGTGTGCAGTATAAAGTCAGATCATGACTGCTCACATGGAAAATGCCAATCACTGGCCAACAATAGTTTGTTTAGCTGCCCCAGACTTCTGTGCCCTGTGGTATTAAAAGGCATCTGCTGTTACCACTAGTAACTACAGGTGTCTCATGCACAATAATGGCACAGCCAGGGATGTACTGGGACTGAAATTCAGCCCGGGACTTAGAGACGGAAAGTCCTTTCCATTTTTCAGTGATGCCAAGCAGCAGGAATAAAGGGTTATTATTTACAGGGTTGGGGAGTAACGGATTACATGTTACGTAATCAGGATACAAAAATAAAGTAACAGTATTCTGTACAGAAAAAAAAAGAAGTAATCAGATTACATTACTTTAAGCAGAAAGTTTCCATGAAACAGAAAACGTGTTCTCATTTGCCCTGATTGCCTCAGCAAGTGGCTCAATTGCCAGCGCGAAGAGCAGGGGCGAGAGAGGACATCCTTGCCTTGTACCTTTAAAGATATGAATATTAGAAGATTGCAACCGGTGGGTAAATCCTGCTGAGATAGGATTTGTATAAA